TGGCCCACTTTGCTCATGCCCATTCACAGGAGAATAACTGGTGTCTGATGCTGACACTTGTGTGGGTATTATGGTGTCCCCAGATTGCACTTGGATCCCCAATGTCCTGCAAGGATGCTCTGGGCACTGTGACATCACCGGTGGCTGTAGAAATTTCAGTGAGAAGCAACTTGTGCTTTATATAAGACATGACCCTGTGTCTTCGTTTTGATTTGCCAATTTAAATAAACTCATTTTTCTGTTGTGAGACAGAACCAGGAGAAAAAAGCAAGGCAGGCCTAAAACTTAAGAGAGTATAAAAAAAAAATTATTAACTACACAAACAAAGAGGGGGGGAAAACAAATTCAGAATAAGATTTTTTCAGACCACTCCTTCCTTCTTTTTCCCAACCTTCATAACAACAAAACAAACATACAACAACTACTTCGGTCAGTTCCCAATTTAGTCTTTTTCAGTTCACTTCCAGAGAGAGAAGCCTTCTCTTGTTGAAGCCGTAGGGATTTTTTCCACAAGAAGGAAGAAAACAGTCATCTCATGGTTTCATTTTTCACGATTTGCATCCACCCAGGAACCTGCAATCGTGACACTCCTCTCAACTCCACAGCCTTCCCAAAGCTGTAGATGTGGGCAATGTCTGTCTCATGGGGTATTACTTTTAAGAATGAAATGTTCCACAGAAAGTTTCTCTTAATTTCTTTTCTCTCTGTTCATGCTTCATCCTCAGAAAACCGAGATCCCCTTCTTTCCTCGGGGCAAAAGACTCTCAACACAGGTGCTTTTTGGTCAAATCATCCATCAAATGGAACATCTCCATCCCCCCATGTCTTTCTCCATGGTTTATAGGAATATTCAGTACATCAGTTCATCCCTACAATCTTACAAAAGGATTTTCAGCCATCTTGACAACATCTCCTCATTCTCCTTCCATCTAAAAAACTTAGCTCGTGCTTCACTGACTTCAGAAATCTTATTCCCTTTCATATTCAAAGGAAGGCCGGAGGTTTTGCAAATCTTATCTGAGCACTAAAGAGTTAAAGTTTAACACAACTACAAGAGCTGGGCCAGGCTCAGGCCGCTCTGGGCGGGGGGGGCAGCTGAGGTGTCAATCAGCCTTTCTGGGGCTGGGCTGCTGCCCCAGACCGCTCATGGCCACCCCTGCTTCCCAAACAGGGCCTGGCTGCCTCCCCCAGGCCGCACGGGGCCTGGGCAGGCCCGGCCCTTCCGACAGCGGCGGGAACCGGGCCCCCCATCCCAGAACTGCAGGCCCGTGGAGGAGGAAGCTGTGGAGGTCTTATCAACGAGCCTCTCGTCCTCCCGGCCATTGGGTCCCCTCGTTGCAAACGGGGCCCACAAGGCTTCCCGAGCCTCCCCCTGCATGGGAGAGGGAAGCTCGGGTTGGTGTTACCTGCACTGCTGCTGGAAAGACAAAGAGACTCAGTTCCGGATGACCTCCTTTGAAATATGTGTTCACAGAGGGAACTAACTTTCTCCCATTGGCTGTTGAAGGTGTCCCAATCCCCACAGAGGAAGCTCCCTTAGAGAGAACTTGCTCTGAGTTTCTTCTTCCCAAGTCAACCCATCACACCCTGCAATCCAGCACTGCAGCAAATAAATTTTATTTTGAGCTAATGAAAATGAAAATATGTGGAACAGAATGATCTTTTACAACCACTGAATACATATCCCCTGATCAATTTCCCATAAGTTGAAGAAAAGCTTCAGAAGCAGAGCAGAGAATGAAGGTATCCAAGAAGTGCATCACAGGAATGTAGCTTTGGCTGCTCAAAGCTTTCTATGTATCTGATGCCAAAGCCTGCCTGTCTGATACAACAGGTGCTGCTCTCA